GCTATGACGGATGAAGAATTCGACCAGATTTATTCTGGTAGAGGGGACGCAAATCTCCCCACTCTTGATAGTGTATTCGAAGATATTGATGAAGCAAATCTGGATAATCTGGACGGGGACGATGAGCCTACACCGCAGAGCAACGACGTCGACGTGGAGGCAGGTGAGCCCGCGACCTCTCGAGGTCCGGATAAAGGTATAAAAAATATAAATCAGAGTTATTTGTTTATCATTTTGACAAAGAAATAAAAGATGGCGTAGTTTATGGAACATGTAAACATTGTGGGAGCGTCATAAAAATGGGAGTCTCCGGCGGTTATGGCGGTCCGGAAAACACCTAAGGTCGAGGCATCCCGTGGAGTTTGCCAAATACGAGGCAAAAAAGAAGGGACGACAAGAAGTGCAAACCCAAATTTCTCGGTTTGCTAACAGAGGTAAGGGCGGCCTTTTTGCTTATAGCGACGAGCAAAATAAGCAAAAATGGCCGAAATGATTTGTGAAGAAAATTTGCCATACATGTTTTCTGAGAAACTTGGTTTTAGTGATTATTGTCAACAGGCATTAAACCCTCAAGCACGAGGTTTTTCAAGAAAAACAATTAAACGAGAAATTATTCGTCAGTATAAAAATGGAAAAATAAATTTGGCAAATTTTTTTCTTAATTTTAATTCTCGTGTTGCTATTTGTTCTGATATTTGGAGTGAAACTTATTATAATTTGTCTTATATGGGTGTTACTTGTCATTGGATAGATAGTGATTGGATTATGCATAAACGTGTTCTTGCATTTCGTGATTTCAATGAACAGCATACTGCTGAAAATATTTTCCTATTGCTTCAGAGTATTCTGCGGGAATACAATTTATGTGACAAAGTGTTTTCATTTGGTTTTGATAATGCTACTAATAATACTGCAGCCATTCCTAGACTTAGAGAAATTTGCCCACCGTCTACGGCTATGGGTAGATTTCTGCATCAACGGTGTGCCTGTCATGTTTTAAATTTATGTGTTCAACAGGGACTAGAAGCTATGGGCGGAGTTTTGACGAATATTAAAGAAG